TCACTTGCCGGTAGTACTCTCCATATTCTTATAGAGTGTCCAAGGATGTTAATGTCAGGGAGCCACTCCGACTTTCTTTGACCAACCATCTCAAGGCTCTTCTCAATCCTGGGAACGCCGCGCCCCCACAGGACTATCAAGAGAACGCTCTCATCGAGCAGGTGACGAACTTTAGGTCACTCTCTCTGGAACGCAGTGCTATGATATGCAGGTCATCTCTACCGTAACCACCGACAACTTGGAACTCGGATGTCAACTTATTGAGAGAATTGTCTGTGAAAGGGCAGTTAAGGAGATAGATGTAGTCTTCCAGCCGGTGAGTTCAAGAGACCCCTCCCGCTCCTAGGACGGCATCACTTTATTAGGCCTATGAGGCGCGCCAGAGGCACAGGGAGAAATACGGTCCCAGCGGTCCTCAGTTCGTGGACTCGGAGTTCTATGATGTTAGTGGGACCTGGCCTAACTCGCTGCCCAGCAGTTTGAGACCGAGACCAGGACCATTGCCAGCTAGAGAGCTGAGGGTAAGTACAGTGTAGTTGGTCGGGTGAACTGCATGTACATGCCTCAGTGGGGATGTCTGTATTGAATAGCAGTCGGATGGTGCTCAGGTGTATCGGGATTTCTTGACCAAAGTGAGGCCCCCGGCCACGGGCGGTGTGCCCCCTCCAATGAGTGGAGCGGTTCCCGCGGATATCCAGCGCAGGATCGTTGGAGCTCCTCCAGGAGTAGTAGCAGAAACACCGCCAACTCGATGGGATAATTTTGTGTAGCAGATGCAGCCCAGCGCCCCTCAGCCACCAGCATTACCATCACTGGTCCAAGTTCAAAGCATTGTGAAGCAGCTGCATGCACAGGTAATGTATGGCTGGGAGCGAGGGGCACCACGGACTTCCTGGCAGGCTTCGGGTGCGGTCCATCAGCTCGAGTCGCTACCTACGGAGGGTCCTCAAGGGAAGGTATGGCGGTTCACAAAGATCTTACTAACCACCGGTCTGGAGGAGGTTATCGCTCGTGCTGCTACCAACGAGAGGGTAGTTGGCCCATGCTTGACCTGATGCTTCCGGATTGTTGGACTGTAGGTTCTGACTATGCCCGAGATTAGTGATACTCAACGGCCACAGCTGGACAGTTTCTATGCTTTGGTTGGCCTATGCAGCCTTACCGCACCATCAGAAGAAGCTAGTGCTCCTAGCGCTGGTCTCACTGGATGGCAGGTAGTCGACCTGAGCAAACTTCTATTCCAGAGAGGAATCCTCGTTTTCTGTAGTTGTTGTTAAAGAACCTCGATGAGATCCTCAAGCATGACCCAGGCCTGGCAACTGTGGTGGTCTCTCATGTATTGAAAGAGATGAACCGCAAGTTCGACCAGTTGGCCGCCATGTACGTTGGAGTCAACGTGCTGGCTGAAAAGACTAAGACTGATGTAGGATGCAGTGGGAAACTACCAACAGCTTATTGTATGTTTTCATTATCTCAGGCGGCAGCAGCAGTAGCGATCAAACAACAGCTACAGTGGTCACAGAGTCACGTCACAGAAGCACATGTCCGCCTGGAGATCCACTTGGCCATGCTTGGTAATGTACAGATCCCCTTACCATTCTGATTCATCTATGTTATTGCAGGAGTGGTATTGCAAACCGTTGGAGCCTCTAGTGAGGATACCGCCTTGCGAGTAGTACAGACGCCCTTGTTGGCCTTCTGCGTTGAGCTATTGCATAGGAAGCTGCTAGGCCATACTTCGGAGTATTAGTGAGAATTTCGTCACGCGCCACGAAATTATTTTGCTTCTCCTTGTTCAGTGGTCAAACTCCCTTCGCAACAACAGAGGCTCAGAGGCAGGCCCTCCAGCTGGTCCTGTGCGGGGTCATTCGCTACTCTTTGGTGAAGGAATCCGAAGTTGACACTATTCTACAAAGGCTTTTGACGGAGTACAAGTCGCCACAGAACACTATGTTTGTGGTAATGTTTTTCAGAGGGGGCCTAGAGGCAGTTTACTTTGGATATTTTCCATGGTTGGTAGGTTACCTTCCTCCAGCTGGTCCTCAACAAGATGCGCATATCGACAGTTCAGAGCTGGGTGCATTCCATCGAGGTTATCCAGAGAATTGGCCTCCGCCTTAGAGAGCAGATGCAACATCCGGGATCTCATT